TTCGGTGATCATTTCACATACAACTAATTAAGTGATCATTTCACTCCTTTTTCGGTGATCAAAACAACCCTCGTCCATAGTTTATTTTCTTGATTTCGATCAACTCATCTATTTAATTAGTGTCACCTGTATTTTGACAGTATACAAATTTGACTTTATTCAAATATAGTCGTGAATGTTAACAAAACTTGTGAAAATTGATTTTGTTTTTCTAATACGTTAAACATAAATGTCTAGTATCGATCGTGAAATATTTTATTATTTTCTCTTGTTCACTCGTTCTCTAGACGAAATATAATAAAAATTAGAGTTTCATAATATAAATTAATGCGTGAAATGGTGGTAAAATTTTAAGAGCATCTGTTGTAACTTCATGTGAATGTGGTTCATTATTGCCTTGTTTTTCGATTTTATGTTGATGATGACAGTTAACAGTTTTATTATTGCTCTCCGTATTTATCATTGTCGATCTATCAGATCGAATATGACGATTAGTAATATTGTCTAAAATAAAAGAACAATCTCACATATATACAGATTTTTCTATGAGAAACTTTTTACTGTGACTTGTCGTTATTCCTTCGTCTAAATCTTGATTATAGCACATGAAACTTGTATCTTCTATTGATGTTAGACCGCCATGAGAATGTTCAGGCATTTGAGCAACAGTCAAACGAGTTGGACGAATATTAAGAGTAGGTGTTGCACTTGATGCTCCACCTTTTTGACCAACAGAAAATTGTGCATTAGGACCTTTTATTAAAAGAAGATAATTACGATTTTAAGTCAAAAAATTAAGAGAAGAAAAAGTAACCTGAGCCTATAACAAAGCGATCGCGTAAATCAGGTGTTCCTTGAGTTCCATCGCATACAGCCCATCCTTGTGGCACAAGATGTGCAGCACCACTCCTAGACAAATGAATATAATAAATATATGACTGATGAATAAATTTGCTTTACCAAAGAAGAATTACACCTTGAGGCACCACATGATAAAGACTACTATCAGTTAGAAGTTCAGGAGGTATTCTAATAATTCATTGAATAGCATCAATATAAAATTATAATCAACTCACAATCCTCGTGTCTGTTGTTGTTGAGAATTAGACACTAATAAAGTGTTAACAACAAAGAAAACAAAGAGAGTAACACCATTATTAACCATTTTGAAGAATAATGAATATTTTCATTTAGCGATTCTTGACTTATTTAATGAGAAAATAAACAGATGATTTTTATCTTTTCAAAAATAATCAATATCCTTTTTATTCTATTTTAGATTAATGTAGTAATAATATATCACAAAAATACAATAAATGGTAACTGGTTATATATTTTTACTTTGTCCAAATTTCAATATAGAAAAGAAGTAGACGTAACTCATTGATATTAAAATATGAATACGAAGATTGGAGATAACTACAATGACCTTATATATATATATTCTCAGTTAGAAACTATCTAAAAGTTAAAATTTGAAAGTATTCGACAGAGTATGTATTTATGATAAAACTATAGATAAATAATTCCATATATATAATGAGTCGTTTATTTTTAATAAAAGATATATATTATTTGTTCTTAGTTATTATTATCTATGAATATAAATATGAATGAAAATAATTTAGAAAAATTTATTTATTTATTTGTTAAATAATCAATCATATTAATCCAATCAGGAAATTGACGTGGATTTTCTGCACTTATAAACCAAATATGATTAACACCTTGCAATTTACAATTAATAATTTCTTGTTTTATTTGAACTTTAACTTTTTCACGTTCTTCTAAATTAACTAAATCAAATTTATTAACAATAATATCATAACGAAGTTGAATTGCATCGAGAAGACGAAATACTTTTGTCATTTCTTTGATTGTTGATGTTATAACAACAATTCGAGCTGTTAATGCTTTCCAAAAAGCTATATATTCCATACTAAAATATGATAGATCATCATTTCTACCAGGAATATCATAAAGACGATATCCTTGACCTTCATATGGTTGAATTTCTTGTGTTGTTTCACCAGCGCCAACTTCGGCAAGATTTTTTCCAATTAATTTATTTATAATGGTACTTTTTCCTGTTGATGTTAAACCAAAAAATCCAAAATTTCTTCCTTGCATAGGAAGAGGTGCCGTTTGTGATGCCAATCGTATTAATACTTCAGCTCCTTTTCGATCAAATCGTTGAAGATCTTCAAAAGAATCAATATCTTGATTTTCCATTCGTTTAATAAGTTCATTATATTTAGCTAATATATCTGCATTTTGTTTTTGAAATTGTTGCAATTGTTCGACTAATTTTGGATCGTGAACATATTCTAGTACAATTTCATATAAACATATATATATAATTATATAAATTATTTACTTTTATTCATCATTGGAATATTTCCAAGAATAGCATTAACAAGAGCAGCAGCTCCAGAAAGCCAACTCATTGAAAAAAGATTTTGAACTAATCAAAAAATAAAAGATTATCATATTTGTATACTGTTTTTATAGATTATTTGTGTCTTATTCATGATGAAATATTTCGATTTGTTTCTGTAAAGATGAATAATTACTAAATATTGAGTCATTCCATACTAATGATAAAGTAATCTATTGGCATTTTTTACAATTAGGATATGACTCTATTTTATAATGAATCAGAACAAGAATATTAATCGTATATGATATTATATTAGTCATTTTTTGAATATATTTTATATGAAAATGTGATTTACTTTGTCGTAATGACGTTTTTATTTTCAGAAGTTAATGTTTGTCATTAATTGTCACTTTACAAAGAGACTAATATAACGTCATTTGAATGATTTCGATTATCAAAAAGAGACTATGGGTAGTGGTGGTAAAGACTTTAGTATTTATCAATTAGAAGAAAATTTTCTTTTGTTTTTTTATTCAGGTTCAAAAACGATTACAATAATTAAAACTGTCACAGATCCGAATTTAATCAAAGAACTTCAACGTTATCGTGAAGAAAATTCTCTATTAATGGATAAATTTTATCAACTTACACAACAAATTGAAAAACAAAGAATAAATTCCTATGAAGATCTTCAACAAATTAATCAATATGCAGCTCAAAATTTAATTAAATTTGCTTCTAATACACAACCATTTCAATTAGGTGAACGTTCGTTTGGTGTTTTTGGTTTAACATCAACAGGAAAAAGTACAATAATCAATAAACTTATTGGATTTGATTTAGCTGAAACAGGAGCAGGTGAAACTACACAAGAAATTCAACCATATGATGGACAAGGATATCGTCTTTATGATATTCCTGGTAGAAATGATGATCTATCATATTTTACTATGGAGTATATTGCATTTTGGAAAGGTTTAACTGGTCGGTTAATAGTAATAACATCAACGATCGAAGAAATGACAAAAGTATTTCGTCTTCTTGATGCAATTCATCTTCGTTATGATTAGGGATGTGCAGTGTCAGTGAAAATACTGAAAAACTGACACTTAAAATATCAGTTCAGTGTCCACCGTGCCACTGAAAATGTCGGTGTCAGTGTTCACCGAACACTGAATATAAGTGGTCGGTATCCACCGTGCCACTGAAATATCGGTGTCAGTGTCCACCGAACACTGAATATAAGTGGTCGGTGTCCACCGTGCCACTGACATATCGGTGTCAGTGTCCACCGAACACTGAATATAAGTGGTCGGTGCCCACCGTGCCATTGAAAATATCGATGCCAGTGTTCACTGAACAGCGAAGGTATCTGTTTTCAAAATATTTTTGTGTTAAACCTTATTATTTACAACAATATATCAGTGTGTTCACCGAAAAACTGGACGGTGAGCACCGACCACTTATATTCAGTGTTCGGTGGTCACTGACACCGATATGTCAGTGGCACGGTGGACACCGACCACTTATATTCAGTGTTCGGTGGACACTGACACCGATATTTCAGTGGCACGGTGAACACCGAACACCGAATATAAGTGTCACTGAAAATCATTGTCAGTGAAATTCAGTGCTCAGTAAACCGACACTGCACATCCCTAGTTATGATATTATTGTGAATAAATTTGATTTAGTACCTATTGAAGAAAGACAAATATTTAAACAAAAAATAGATAAACAAATTCGTGAAAATAATCTTCAAGGTATTGATCATATTTGGTATGTAAGTGCATTGAATCCAAATCATTTTCCTCATTGGTTAGTCATGGTAGATTCATTAACAAATAATACTAATTATATTTCTAATAATTTTGATCCAATTGATTATCTTATTTATGAATAAATATAATTACACGTGATGGTTATATCTAATTAAAATTTATTCTAAGTAACAAAAGATTTATTTAAAAATGAACAAAAAAACTTCATCATCCACATTCATCTCCAACAATGTTCATATTATAATGATTACCTATTGGTAATTCGCCGTCTGGATTTCTTTTACGATTTTTAATACTTAGTTTTTTAAAAAGAGATTCACTTTCATTAAGAAGTGTAACAACATCATCATGTGCTCCACCTATTTTAACACCCATATGAGCACAACAAATATTTTCAAAAGGCCAATCATGTAACATATTACGCATCCAATCTCGAAATAAATATGGACTATCTTCTGTAGGATGAAGTCCAACATTTTTAATCGATGGATGAAATACCATTTTACCATGTTTATAACCAAATAATCGAAATAAGAAATTCGGTTTATCTGCATAAATTATTGTATCATTAATATGAAGAGTTTTGGATGATAAATGATAAACAAAAACACTTATAAAATGATTTGATGATTCAGGTTGTGGATTAATAAATTCAGCACCTAGAATAAAAATATTTTTATTATCATATGTCAAAAAAATTTGAATTCTATAAACTGACCTGCTGGAATACGTAGTTCAACATCTGGTTGCCACAATGTTCTTACAGTACAATCATTAAGATTTCCACTCCATGGAATTTGTGTTAATCGACGTAAATGTCGTGGTGTACCATAATAAGCTGCATTTGGATATGATTTATAAAATGATGGAAATGATAATGTATGAAATGGATGTGTACCAATAACTGCTTCAATTTTATTTCCATTATCTGTTAAATGATTAATTTCTTGACGAAGATGATCATTTAATTCAACTGTATCAATAACAAGAAAATTTCCTGTATGTAATTGAATAAATGACATTTGTGTTTCAATATCTATAAGTTTAGCAAGAATTCGAAAACGACTACGAACATTCCAAAACCCAGGTCCAATTTGATTTAATTCATTTTTAATTATATTTTGTGTAAGATTTGAATCTTGATATAATATTGATGATGACATTATACAAAATAAATTTAACAAGTAACTTTTCTCGTAACAAAAAAAAACGAAGAAGAAATCAATTCATGTTAATCTTTGTTTGAATCAACATAAAATTACATACGTAATCAATTTATTTATCGGATGACCTTGTGAATAAGTATGACTTAGCTGCTTCATATATCACGCAAAAATGATGCTGGATAATAAAATAAATATTTGATAAAAAAAAAAAAGAATCGATAAGCAATGCCATTCATTTTTATTTTCTTTACTGATAAATAAAATATTACTTGTCTAATGTTAGTATCTTATTTTCTTTCAAAATAAAAGAATATCAAATGAAATAAAGATACTAATTTTCTTATGAACTGTATATTCAATTGAATCATAATCATCAAAAACGATTTTCAGCATAAATTTATTTAAATGCAATGTGCTTCCAATTAACAAACTGTTTCTTTATAAACAAAAATATATTTATTTGCAACATAAATAACTTTTATACAAATGATTTATGATGTAGTTATTTTACCATCACTCAATGGTAATGTTTTTGTTTCTTCTTCTACTTCTACTTCTTTCAATGTTGATTCATCATCAGTAGGAGCAACAGCTATGCGATGTATAGTTTCACCTTTTGCTTGAAGCATTTGAGCAATATTTCTAGAAAATATATATGAGAAGATATTTGTATTATTTTTATATTAAATAAAATAAATCTTTTTACTTGAATTTTCCATCTTTTGTTAGATCTTTAAACCAACCTAGATTATCGGCAATTAAATGAAGATTTGTACATGAATCACATCGAATAATTACAACTCCTTTTTCATATGATTGACGAGTGAAAGTTTTTTGTAATGTGTGATTACATACTTTACAACGAAATTGAACTCCCATTCGTTTAGATTCTTCTCCTTGATTTATATCAGCTAAAGGAATTCGAGATTGTTGAATATTATCATTGGATTGTGATGAAATATTACGAAGAAAATAACGATAATGATGAGTAATCACTTTCGAAGGACGAATTGTTATTATACTAGTTGCTACAAGACGTGTTAATGCAAGACGAAACATGTATTTAAATTGTGTTGAATACTTAAATGTTGAAATAGAATAAAATAGTTTTACAAACTCATATCGATGCGACTATGATATTCATGCAATAAAGTATTTCATTGGTTTTGTACATTAGAACGAATCAAACTAGTGTTATTATGGATGGCGCTATTGTTCATTTATTATTACAACGTAACCTAGAATAGAAAAAACTTTTAAAATGCGAATCTGCTATACAAAATCTGAGTTGCAAAAATATATAAGATCATAAGAAATATAGAAAGTTAAAATGGATATCTGGTAGACGTTTTATTAAGACAATAATACTATTCTTCCTTTGTTTTAGAATACAATAATGAAGATTCATAGATGTAAATAATATTGAGAAAATTTCAAATAAAAATCAAAGATAAGCTCTTAATTAGTTAGAGATATTATCATATAATTATTAATGAACTCTGCAAAATAGAATTCGAAATGTTAATAATTGATTTTAAAGTTTTGTATTTTCATATTTCAATGAATATATGTCTCCATAATTATTCATGTATGAATAGTTATAGTGTGAATATCATCTTAGAATTTTTCGTGATATTATACTGAATAGATTGTTATTAAATATTTAGCTTAATGTATGATGGTCATAATAAGATCATTTTTCTGAGTTATTGATGCAATTTAAAACACAACTATATATCAAAATAACTTATTAATAGAAAATTTTAATAGTACGTTGTACGCTTTTTGTAAGAAAAAATAATTTATTCTTCGATAATTACTTTGATATACTTATAAAATATCAATTTTATCAGATGATATTATTATTTCATTTATTACATTTGCATGTTCTTACACACAAAGATTACTTTACTTGAATTCTTGTGCACTATTATTCTTTGGTTCTTTAATAACTTTAATCTTATATCAATAATATCTCGTCTAAAATGATTGTATAAAACTGATCATCATCTTTTTGTGATACTCTTTGTTCAAGTTATTTTTCTTGCTTCGTTAACTATTCTATTATCTAAGGAAAAATTTCATTCAATATTTACACTAAATAATGATAAATCGAGCATTCCTATAGCGACTGAAAATATGATTTACAATTTTGTTCTTCGTATTTATTTAGCAAATGGAATTTCATTATATGCATATATTCGTAGTGCTGGACATATTTTTTGACAAAGTTAATTGATACAGAAAGTAATATGAAGATATAACAATTTAAAAAAGCTAGAAATGATCTTGACATGAACATGTTCCATTAGTGGAAAAATGATGAATACAGTTGGCATCACGAACCACAATCTTTACTTGGCGAATTTTAGCAATTAATTTTGTAGCTTGATCTAAACAAAAGCAAATTTATAGATAAATAAAAATTATAGAAAAAAGTCGTGTAACTTACGACAATCACCACAAACGCGAAGATTTTCTGTAATTTGAATAAATGATGGTTTTCTTCCTTGAATAAAATGAAAGGCAATTGCAAGTCTTTCACTATGAGAACACAAAACAGATTGAATTGTTTCAGTTTCAGCTAATGGACGGGTGATCCAGCTTGAATCAGATTTATGCCCATGTTCAGTAAGTTCACATGATATACGATCAGCTTCAGCATAAATTTCTTTTGATAGACGATGAGATTGATCATGGGCTGTAAATTGCTAAAATAAATAAATAAATAATTTTCTTTAGGATTAGAATTTTCTAGAGAAACTTCTTACTGCTATTTCACCATCCTTTTCAGTCCATGCTAAACCAGGTTGAACCTTTTTTCCTACTTGTTTGATTCGATTTAATCGAATATGTTGTGCTTCTTCATGTTGTCCCAATGAAGAATAAATATTGGATAAAAGAATTGAACCTGACGTTAAAGTATCTTTTTCATTTTGAAATAATAATTTCATTCTTTCATAGATTTTTTCTGATACAATAGAATTACGAGAATTACGTGCACCAGATAATATAGCCACTAAAATAAAAAACAAAAAAACCTAATTTAATATAAAAAAGAAAAACTTATTTACTATACATAGCTGAACAAGGTGGATTAGATGTCTCATAATCTTCGATTAATTTTTGTGCTTCGTCAAATAAAAAAAGACGACTTAAACAATCAATCTAAATTTAAAAAAAAATGTTCATATTTAACATAAAAGAATTAAATAAACAAACCATTGTAGTAATAATTTTTGCTGTTTTATGATGAATCTCATTGAAGATTGAATAAGCTTCATAAAGAAGACCCGAATGAGAACATGCATTCAATACACAAATATATAAAATTTCATCATGTAAACTATTAGATATTTTTCGATATAAATCAGTAGCTTCTAAACCCATTCGATTAAGCCCAAACGCATTAACTTAAAAAAAACATATTTGAAAAAATAAAAATACAACAAAATCAATTCACTCATGGAAGTATATGTTATAATATCAGGTGTATCAATTGATTCAAAAATCTCTTGAGCATTTTTAATTGAACCAGCTTTTCCCTATTACAAAAACATGAATGAATAAGATTAATCATTCAGAACATTTTCATAATCAATTCATATCAAGGGGAAAAAGCAAGATTCGGGTAGTGCATATTCCCATAGTCTCGCTTTTCCCCTCATTGATTCTGCTCACTCTCTACTGTACTCGATCGTACCTGACCCATTCATCAGCTGTACTCCGAAGTATTGGAGTCTCCCTTTTCCTCCCTTGATCCATACCCACATATCAATTAACGAATTGCATATCCATCGATTTTTATATAAATCTAAAGGAATTTGAGCAACAACTGATTGACATATTGAAAGCATACCAATTCGTGCACAAGCACCAATTATCTTGATTAATACAGTTACATCAACATTTATATCACTTTCTTTCATTTCTTCAAATAGTTCTAAACTTTTTAATGGTTCATTATTTATATTACATCCATTTATCATAATTCCATAACTAATACTATCCTTTTTTTCGATCATTTTAAACAGATCTTCAGCACGTTGAACATCACCAAATCTCATTAACATATCTATTGCTGAACTATAAATATAATTGTTCTGTATAAATTTCTTAGGCATTTCATCGAGAAGTTTTCTTCCAATTTGTCTTGCTCGATCATTACAAAGTTGAGCACATGCATTGAAAATAATTGTATAAATGACATTATTAATACTTAAAGGTATTTGTTCAAATAAATCTAATACCTTTTCATTCATATTATTTTCAACATATCCTAAATAAAGTTTGTTTAGTTATTCATATACTTTAAGTATAAAAATACCTTTCATCATAGCACCATAAGTGATAATATCTTTTCTCTTCATTGCTTCAAACAGATTCTCAGCACTTTTAACATCACCAAATTTCATTAACATATCAATTGCTGAATTATTAATATTATTATCTTTTTCATAATTATTAGGCATTTCATCGAGAAGTTTTTTTCCAATTTTTATTGCTCGATCGTTATGAAGTTGAGCACATGCATTGAAAATAATCGTATAAATTACACTATCAAGATTTAAAGAGATTTGCTCGAATAAATCCAAGGCTTTGTCAGACATGCTATTTTCAACATAACCTAAATAAAGTTTATTTCGTTATTAGTATATTATAAGTATGAAATTACCTTTCATCATAGCACCATAGGTAATAATATCTTTTTTCTTAATTATTTTAAACAGATCTTCAGCACGTTGAACATCACCAAATTTCATTAACATATTTATTGCTGAAGTAAGTAGAATATTATCGTTCAGAAAAGTTTTAGGCATTTGATTAAGAATATTTCTTCCAGTTTTCATTGCTCGATCATTAATAGCTCGAGTGCAAGCTCGAAATACAAGGGCGAGAGTAGCTTCATTAGGTTGAATCTTTATTTCATCGAATAAATCGAGCACCGTTATTGACATGTTATTTGAAATAAGACCTGAAAATAAAATGAAGTTTAATAATGAAATAATAAAAATTCTAATAATAACCTTTAAACATGGCTACATAAATGTAATTTGATTTGTTAGTAATTGCAGAGAATAAACGAGAAGCATTATTGGTATCATCAAATTGCACTAGAAATAATTATAAGATAAGATAATAGTCATTTGAATTATCTTTAATTATTAAAATATAATTGATTAATATGAGATATTTTATTAAGATTAGATGTGAATGCCGTTATTGTGTTTATTCTATCAACAATCATATCTACCATTAACATAATAAACAAATGTTGGTAAAATATTTCGAAAATCCAATTCAGTTGTACATAAAGATGAACAGTTTATTGGTTGATATTGTAGTTTCAAGCTAGAATTTCATTTGCTAAAATGTATAACTCACTGTAGAATTGAATAAGTGTTGTTTGAATATAAGGATTCTCAAGTGAATTTTGAGAAAGTTTTTTCTGTATATTCATACCACGTTGATAATCCTTTAAATTAATACATGCTTTTAATGCCATATTAATTTCAATATCTTTACATAAATGAGATTCTTGATCAAAAATAGATAAAGCTTTTTCATATTGTTTTGAATCTATAAGTCCTTTCATTCTTGAATAAATTGCTTTTGATGATGATGATGATGATGATGACAATAAGGTCAACGATATTTTAGATCTGTTGTGATATAAAGGTAAAATACGACGTAACATAAATAAGTTATTCATAGTTAATATATTCTTAAAAAAACAGCACAATATTCATACTAAATTTTAGAAAAGTGAGTTTATAGATCTACTCGGAATATATTTGTTATGATATGCCAATATTTTATAATTATATTTTTCATATAGAACGATCAATTAGTTTGAGATTTTGAAGAGGAATATTATAGGCTTATTTCTAAATCATACAAAAAAACTTATCCATACATAGCATTGAATATTAAATATGCTTAACTTTTGCAAATAGAAAGAGGGCGTTCATTGTCAATCTATTTTCAAATCGATATTTGTGTCTATACGTTCACACTTAAAAGAAGACAAAATGAAAACTATGTCGAGTGAAAAATTCATAAATTAAATAACGTTATATACTAACCGTTTTGCATATGAATCTATGATATTATTCTTTCAATTTTTGGTCGAAATTAAATATTAAACTTTACAGTTTGTGAGCACTGATTCATCATTGCTTTATAGAATGAGTATATATTCAATCTTTAGATTTATTATATAGACATAAATACATTTGTTATTTTTAAAATAAAAAATAAAGAAAGATTTCTTTCTGGCATAAATAAATGATCATATATATTATAATCATATTCTTTCGTATCCTGAACATCATTTTGATATATCATATTATCAAAAAATGAAGATAATTCATGGGAAGATGCATACAAAAAAACAATTCCATTTATATCATATGTTTCAATATCATATAGTCATTTCTAGAAAAAAAAGACTTTGATAGAAAATGATACATTTATTCTTTATTACAAAGAAAAATAATTGAAATAACACTTACCTTTTATAGATTTTATAAAATAGACACAACTTTTCCTCGAATATGAAATAATTAATAAAATTATAATTCTAAAAGATTCATTTTATGAAAAATTGAATCATTGTTCTTAAAATTTATAAAACGGACTAAAATAAAAGAAAATAACTTTTTTTTTCTTTAGAGATTTCTTTTCTCGAGCAATGAATATTGTACCTAGTAAAACTAATGCTAAAGTTTGAGAATTGTTTCCGTAATCGACAACATATATGATAATGTTTGATTATCAATTTTACTTCGATCCAATATTAGTTCAACAGATCTATTCGACGTATTTGAAACAAGGTAGTGCTCATCCGATGGATTCGCAGACCCTTCTCTGAAAAAAAATTTTCTTTGATTATTATTAACAAGTAACGCTCGTTCAGAGACTTGCTCAGCTCTTTCTTGTAGAAAACGTGTTCTACAATACTATTGAACTTTTTACTTGTACAGTTTCCAAAAACTAACATCAGATTCGGATTGTCCGACCCCGATTACCTTTGATCAATCATTTTCTGATCATCACCGATAAGTTTTCATTGACTTATAAAATGCTGCAATCTGATTGGCTTGGACAAACAAACGGACGAACTTTACGCATTTTAACGACCCTGTTTAACGAGCCTGTAACTCTTTCTTTCAGAAAAGGGAATAACTTCATTATCGAGCAATCACATAAAAGTTAAATAAGATGGGCAATCTACAGATATACTAGAATTTTGGTTTAATGAATCAATAGAGAATAATGCAATCCAAAGTTTTACTATTTCATTGAATACAAATTTGTACTCAAAGGATGTGAACGTAAGTAGAGAAACTAGTCTTATACTCTCACATAACCACACCCTTCTTATTTTTATAAGTCTTCCTTTTCTTGCTTTTTGCTGTTAGAATATTTTATGGGTGATCATAAACATTAAAATTAATTCGTATGTTTATCGTACAACAATAAATCATCAGCTCACATATATTTCAACAGTAATACTTATGTAGATAGATTTTCAGTTAGATTATCTTATTTTACATATCTGCTTTTTCTATTAAAATCCACGGTATTTATGTTGTATCCTATTTAATTACTTTATTTTACTTAAAATAAATATTACAAAAAAATAAATTAACAATGATAAAGTAAAATAAAAAATTATAATTTTAATAGTTTTCAAGAATTTTCTAAATTATGTTTAATACCATATTTTTCTCTTAATTGTCTCAATAATGAACGATTAAAAGAACAACTAATATTTTTACCATTATCAGTATAACCTCCATCTTTCCATTGATTATATTCATGTACAAAATCTTCTACCCAAAATTCTAAACATATAAATTTTTTATGGGGTGATCTTGTTGTGACTGAAGTACAAAATTCTTTATCTTTTTCACACATTTCAACAAATAATTGTCCATCAGCTGCTAAATTTTCTCGTGGTTGAACTGGTAATGAAAATCCTTGTAAAATAAGTTGCCCTGCTTGTCTAATTAATTTTATAACTTCATCTTTTTTTATACCTTTAGGTCGTTCATTTATTGGATAATAAAGACCTTTAATATATGGTGCACCACTTGTCATATGTTGTTCAAGATATGAAGTATATGCTCTTGGTGTATTTTCTGATGCCCATGGTCTTATACCTCCAAGATTAATTGAAACTGATCCATCGGATAAAAATGTTTGATACATTTGACCAGTACCTGGTCCAGTTATATGAATATCCATGTTACGTAAAATTTTCAATTGAGCAATAAAATTATTCTCAATTAATTCATATGTTGGCGATCGAGAATCACTTGATGTTGCATTAATTTGAGTTAAATTCATATTTTGTGCCTTAACTTGATTATAATAAAGATATGAGACATGAATTAATGGCCATTCTAATTTACTTGTATTACTTTTAATTGTATTTATATAAAAATTAGTATAATTATTTATTTCATTAATTGCATCATTGATTTCTTTTCGATCATTTTTTGTATAACGTTTATTATCAATAACATATGCTTGAAGAAGATCATGAGATGTTCGATATTCCGACGAAGACTTTTGTCGAATAACTGGATGGATAAAACCATGTTGTTGATACATTCGATCACGAAAAAGTCTTGAAGCATTTAATTCAACACCGCCAGGTAATTGTAAATTAGGTTGTGTACAACGTTGACAAAAAGTTCCACTACCCATAATAATTTCATCAAATACAAACCATCGTCCGTTTGAAAGTTTATTTAAAACACGTTGTTTAATAATTCCAAGACCACCAAAACGACTATAAACATCTTCACTCCAACATCCATTACATTCATCTATACCGGCAAGAATACGAAATGGATGAAGATGTCGAGGTGAAAATCGAATTAATGCAACATAAGCTGAATAGAGCCCATCAAAAAGTGCATGACCAATATTATCATGCCATGGTTGACCAAAATATAGAGTAACATATGGAATTCTTCTTGGATTAGTTATATTACGAATAAATATTTCAAAATGAAAATATGAATCAAATTCACGTTTATTTAATACTATAGGCCATAGATTAAATGCATCTGTTCGAATATAATATTCAGGTATATAACTTCCTTTTACTGTTAAAATCGTAAATGTACTATCAATATAATATAGATTTTTAAACAAACATGATTGATTATATAATGGACCGATACATTGAATTTTTGTTTCTAATATTTTATCAGAATATAAACTATATTTATTAGTTTCGTTTATTAATGGTTTTGTAGATATTGTAAAATTTGGACTATTGATAATATTTGATATATATGAAGTTTGTATATTAATATTTTTTATTTTTACCATAAAATAGAGCATCACAATGATAGATACGATTGTAATATAAATAAACTTTCGACGAGTAATTAGTGAATAGTTGAATAATTTTATTTGTTTTTTATTTAACATTGTTGACGACAATCACAGAACTAAATTAATGGTCATAGAGACTTTTCACTAAAATGTAGTCCGTTAAATTCAGCATCGAATGATATATAGAACATCTTTTAGTTCTCGTGGAATAATGAAAACGTTAATTAAATACTAAAAGTATGCTAAATTTTTTTCCATTGGAGAACATGTTGTTCTGTAATAAAAAGTTAAAGACTTCTAATAAGTTGTCCTGGACAAGAAATAAAAATAAAAAAGTGTGCTTAACTTTTCTCATTCACTTTACACGACTCAGGACATATTTACATATCTATAGTGTGAGGATGCAGAAAGATTAATATAGCCAATAATTTTCTATTCAGTTTATAGATCTTTAGGAAAATAGATATTTGATGAAATAATTTTGCATGAATGAGAAATTAAATTACCTATTTCAATTTACTCTACAAAGAATTATAGTGAGATCTATAAAAAAAAAAAGTATGATAAAAAACAATTCTGAGTAACTATAACATTGAAGTAAATAAGTCTATATTACTGGCAGATTCTCTGTAACTTAATATGTCAAATATTGATATAGAAAAATTTATTAAGCGCAAACACGTCCTTCTCGATCGTAAATGAAGAAAGTCTAGTTAATATTTAATGACAAGCATCAAAATGGCGCCGACGTGAATTTTTATTGAGTTTTGTTCCTTTTTTTTCCTGTTTTTCTTATTACGGCAATTAACACGAGAAGAAGGTTAATTTGTTAGATTGTAGAACAATAAATCAAGTTTTATAAAAAACAAATCATATTTGATCTATTATTTCTTTTTATCTACAACAAAAACTAGTGTCGACAGAATTATTTATCTGTGTTTTCTATACTATTACATAATACATTTTTACCTGTTAATTCTATTATGCTGTTAATATCTGTATATGAAGATGCAGGTATATGATTTTTCAATACTAAAACTTGAACAGTTATGGAGAAATTTTTTCTCATGATCGGACAGATCTCTATAAATATATATATATATATACATATACTCTGAATTTTTTAACAGGCTCTTGTTATAGTGAAACAAGAGACACATAGGTAAGAAATAATTATAAAATCAATAAAAAAAAGTATAGAAGAATTAAAAAAAACATATTATATGTTAGAATATCGAATGACGAAGATAAATAAGTCTTTTTTTCTACACTTCATATTCTAACATACGTTTATACGTTGTGATACAACACACCGAATAGTGTACATTTTATTCTCAATAAAAAGCAGATGCAAAACAAATTTAATCAAATTAACGTACTGAAACTAGTTTTTGGATAAATAAAATAATCTATTAAATGAAAACTAGCGCTTTCGACTCTTTCAGGAGTCATCAACAGTAGTAGCGGCAATTGATATTTTCAATACAACAACTAGTTTCACTTAGGTATATGACAACACTAATATTGCCAATACTAATACTCATCAATACCAATACCCATCAATACCAATATTAATACCGACACCTACCAATATCAATATCAATACTGTATTGGTATTGCTACATGCCTAGTTTCACTAAATTAATACAGATTTGTACTCATAGGTTATTTTCAGTATTGAATAATGAATAGTTCATTAATATTATCTTTTCTGAAAAGTACATTTCTTATACAATAGTCAATCAACTTTGCATCAACAAGAGTAAATAATTAGTATTAAAGAGTATTTATATAAAAGTAAATATTTTCTGTTGATTATGGTCTTTGCCTTTGATTTAAATTAAGTGAGATTGAACGAAGATGTAGATACTGATTCCTCTTAAAAGAAAAAATCTACAAACAAAAATTACTTTATTTCTGTGCGGAACAGCATTTTTTCTAATTATGTAGTATATTAATATATATCATTTGTGTTCGTTGATGGATGAACTCTGTCTAAGACACACAACTCTTTTGATGAAGAATTTTTTTTCTATTTTTCTATTTGATATATTTATAAAAATTCTTTTAACTGGAAATATTTTGAGGAAATATATTTTCTTTTACTAAGAAGATTATAAAAAATACAGGTAAAAGAAATTATTCAGTCGCAATAATAATAATTATTTAATTTAAGATTAAAAAGATAATAAACCATCTTTCACACCAATAGATAGAAGGAATACTTATTTTTGTTAACAATATTTTTAAGTTGATGGATTAACAATATTTTTCATTAGTTTACTTCCATATGAATAATTCATTTTCCAATATGACATAAGAGGTATGATATCTTAATAAAAATTTCTATTTAATAACAATGAATTGAAATAAAAACATAATAATGTTTAAAATATTTTGACAGTAATATTATAACCCTTCGAAGACGGCGACACATGCATACGTCGCTCGACTTGATATAATTGAGATTCTTCAATGTGAAAGATCTGTCTGTTACTCTGTCTTATACTACTATGGGCTTCTAGAACGTCTTATACAAAGACTCGTAATACATCTCGAAAGTTTAGATGAACTTAATTAAAAACTAAAAATAAATTTTTCCAAGAGATTTTTCCTCGAGCTATTCCGTTTCAAAAAATAATTCAATCCTCAAAGGGTTAAATTCTTCTCAGCATAATACAAGTACTTATCATCACTATATAACATATTCGTGGATAGATAGAAATTTCTTTATTATAAGAATCTTCTCTTTACATTTGATCTTAATAGATGTGCATTGATACATGCTTAGCAAGTATTATTACAGATTGGTAATCCATCTATGATGTAAATACTTATAATGACTGAATACTCATAAATAGAAATGCATTGAAACCTAGTATGAAGAACGGTATAGAGAGAAATCGAGTACATAAAAACACCTATTAGATCTGAAATGATATATCTTCAAAAGACTATTACGGTGATGATAAGTATAATATCATATTAAATTAGTTTTTTTAATCATAATCTTAATATTACTGTTGTATCTTATAAGTTTTGTCAATAATGAGGACATACAATTCGTGGCATGCTTGTTTTTGTAGATACTATTTTTAATTCCTAGTTTTTACAATTCTAATGTCATCTTCATCATCAGATATCATATTTATCACGAATTTAAAAAATATTCTTTCTCAATTAAATTTTTATTTTGGTTTATTTATCTTTATATTTGGTATTGTTGGTAATACTTTGAATATTTTAATATTATCTCAACGAACTCTTCGTTCAAATTCATGTGTCATTATCTTTCTAGCATCTTCAACAGCAGGCATCATTGCAATTTTATCGGGTCTTACATCTCGTGTTATATCAGGTGTTACTGTAGATTTATCAGCAACAATTAGTTGGATTTGTAAATTACGTGGTTTTATCTTATATACATCACGAGCAGTTACCTTTTGGTTAATTATGTTGGCTGCTATTGATCGATGGCTTTTATCATGTAGAGATGCTCATCGTCGTAATATGAGTTCAAAATCAAATTCATTTCGTGGTATAATTATTATAACAATACTATCAATTCTTATACATTCTCAACTTTTCTATTGTTTAGAAGCTAATCTTATTAATACACCATTAAAATGTTATACAAAAAATATTGAATGTCGTTTAATGAATGATTTAACATTTGCAATAATTGTAATACTTTTACCTTTAATATTAATTTTAATATTTGGTTGGATGACAATATTAAATACACGTTCAACTAGAAATCGTGTTGATCCTATGACTATTATTAATCAACCAATAAAAATAAGTACGACTAAAAAGCGATCTAAGAAAACAGATCAGCGTTTACTTATCATGCTTTTTGTACAAGTTATTTTTCTTGCCTTATTCACACTACCACTTGCATTACAAAAGCTTTATGCAACATTTACTTTGAACATTCCTAAATCAACATTACAAATGACTATTGAAGATTTTATATATCAAATTGCTTTGATGTGTACATATTTTGCAACTGCAATGCCATTTTATATTAATACTCTTAGTGGTGGATATGTTTTCAGAAAAGCAATGTATACTTTGAAAAACTCAATTATTCAAATAGTCATTTGTAAATAATTATTATTGTTGTAGAAAAAAAATTAATTGTATTTATATGAATTATTTCAGCTAATATGTCGTCTTCTTTTAGATGGAAACTGTCACTTCATTCAATTAACTTTCGATATTTTAATAAATATTCTCAGACTAAAATTCTATATATTCTTTGTCATTTATTCTCATAAACTTAAGGTTCATAGATTGCGATTCGATAACGATTTACTTCTTACACGTGAATATTACGATTACATTAATACTTATAAAAATCTGTTGAGAACAATACGATCTTGAAGATCTACTATTGAATGTATACCTTCACGGGATGTGGGTGAGTGTTCATCCTTTCTTTATTTAAACCCATATACATCTATCACACCCTCAAAAGTTTAAATATACTGAACGTTCACAAAAAAACTGGAAGTTAACGTTTTGCTTTATAATCAAAATAACACAATACAAAAAAAAAATCATTCATTACATTGTAAGACTGAGTTCATCATCAAAATAAATATATGGTTGAGTATAAGAACGACAATAGATACTCGAGAGTATACCATATAATCGAAAATGTACAACAGTTAACTATGCTTTTTCTTTTCAAAATTTAGTAATTTTGAAAAGCAGGCACATTTCGTCTTAGATCACCTTTAGCATCAATGAATAATATTTGAAAGAGAATGAACAGTGAGTATCGATCAACGCTAACAAAATGTTTATTGAAATTATTGATTGTTTCATTATCTATTTGTAATTCTTCAATTTCTAATTTTAATCGTTGATAAAATTGTCGTAATGTATCTGGTTGTTTGAGACCCAATATTTGAAGACTAACAGCCATGTCCGAAAAAAAATTAAAATCATTAATATAACCATCATAACATGTTACTATCGTTTCAATTTTTGATATGATTGTATTACGACCTTGTACTGGCGCATATGATATAATATTCAGTTTTTTCACTGGTAACAATTCATCATGAGTGTGTGAATATCGAATATGAGGAAAGCGAAGTAATTGATTGTTTATGAATAAAATTAAACGACAGTAATTTAGTTTCATTAATTCATCTACAACAAGAGTCACTATCCGAAAATACCTTTTTTTTTACCGAAAAAATTAGTATGAGATATTTGATATGGATACAAAGCGTATTCAACCTTGAAAAAATGCCTACAATAGGTGAAAAAAGCTGTCTCATCTAAAACTGCATGAGAATGTATTTTTTTTTATAAGAGAGATTTCTAAAGATTAGTAAAAAATCATTTTACTATCTAGTATCCATATTCCTAAAAACGATAGTTCACATTAGCTAAGCAGAAAGCAGAGCAATTGTCTTGATTAAGATGTTAAAAGAAAAACGTTTGATGGCTATAAACATAAAGTGATAAAAGAAAAGAAGTATTGAAACAATTTATCTGTCAAAAATAATCATTATCGATAACATAGATATCTTTTCTTTCATACTGCTGATTGAATAAGAACTCATGCAATATCTCTGAGGATAAATAGATGTCGTATGAGTCTGTAGGTGGTGAAAGATGAAGGCTGAGCAAGACTTAATTATTATCAGATTAACTCAGTTAGAGCAATTTTTTCCACTTTTGATATATAATAATCATTTTGTATGGGTTAGAGAACCTCATCGGGGCGTCTTAGATGAATCAAATACTCTCATACATATCTACCCTGTTTGATAGAAGTTGCTGTTATTAGTAAAGAATATAAATACTAAAGCAAATACGTCCTTTTCTTTGATGTCTATTGGCTTTAAATATTACAGTATTCATCGCCATCAACTATCAAGGTATATAATGTAAGTAGAAACTATAGCTTGTGACAACACTCAACAGAAAGAGAAAAACAAAATTGATATAGGAGTAAATACAAGATATCAAGTAACGTAGAAACGAGAGAAATAATATATCGCATACAGATCCTATATAAGGGCGCATCAAATGTACTTTTATTCATAATCTGGCTAAAAGAAAGTTCACGTCTGAAACATGACTTTTTTTTTATATACAATAATCATTCTAGTATTGCATAGCTCAGGTAAACGATTTCGAAAGTTATTGTACATCATCGTTTCATTTTATTCTTCTTATATATAGCTACTGCACAGAACACTGCCTATCCATTGGGAACAGTGCATAGCGCAGGCAGTAGCGACTTAAATGTTTATGATGTTGTCGGTAATAATGGAGCTACAATAAATAACAACGTTGCTATGATCGTTCTCTACGATATACGTGGTTTCA